TATGTTAACAATGAGTTAGAGAAGAAAGCAGATAAGGAAAAAGTTATTTCATTCATTAATACTGAGTTAGCAAAGAAAGCTGATATATCATTTGTTAATGAAGAAATAAAACAATCAGAGGTCTATTTTACTCCACCATTTTTAAATTTTATGAAATCATCAGATAAAACCTTTGATATAGATTCTTTTGAATGGATATGTTTCGATGGAGTGACCACGTATTTATTTTATACAGCTGGAGTGCTTTATTATTTTAAAACAAATGATTTTAAAAACTATGAATCATTTACTCCATCTGTTTGGAATCCTGATACACGAAAGCCAATCATTAATCCAAGAATTTTATATGTTGAATATAATAACGGTAAATTTATGGGAATGATAATGGTTGGAGATGATTTTTGCCCTTGTTATTCATTCGATTGTATCCAATGGTTCAAATGTAATTTAAATCAAGATGCTAAATTTAAATATCCAAATAATCCAATTAGATGCGTTAATAATAAATGGGTACTAATTTATGAAGTCAATCAAATTTTCATTAGTGAGGATGGGATAAATTATTATATGTTTAGTATGATGTCATCAGATTTGGAAATTGATTATACAAGTAAGTGGTATTACATTAACAACATGTATTTTATCCTACAAGATCATATTCAATACCATTTGGTCGTTTTGAACAAATTTTTCAAGCTGATGGAGACATTGAAGCTTTATGTTATGCTTCAAATGTTTGTGTTCTTGTTTCAGGTGGTATGGTCTATTCATATCCTGTAAGTTATAACAGACATATTTATTTATCACAAGATTTTTCACAGGATCCAGAGAAAACACCAAGTTGGGAATTGGTTTATTCATTCACTCCAAAATTTACTCGAAATTATAGATTTACAAATTTTTTTATATTGATGGTATTTCATTGCTTTAGGATGTGGTGATTTAGTAAATATCAGTAGTGATGGAAGAAATGGTCTGAAATCACAAAATTTCAAGATGTTAGAAAAGCAATTTTCAAAAATAATACGTTAATATTGATGACAAGACCAGTTTTAAATACTCACCCAGTTTCAATATTATATAATAAATTCAATATTCATAATGGATTAAATACAATTCTTGAGATGATTTACCCCATTGGTTCAATATATACATCAATGAATTCAACAAATCCAGCTGATGTATTCGGTTTCGATACATGGCAACAAATAACCGATCGTTTCCTCTACTGTGCTAATAGTTCAAAACAAACCGGTGGAAGTATAAAGATTACGGGAGAAAATTTACCTGCTCACAGTCATTATGTTAATTTAAACACTCAAGATCGGTGGCATAGTCATACTTATACTAATTCGTTTGAATATCCTGATGGAAATAATGGATTTCCTGATGGATGGTCTGATAGAGACGCTAGCAGGGGTAAATATTGGTATGGTAATAAAAAGATGGAATGAAGGATATACTTCAAACGGTTCGGTACACATTCACATAATGTTTCAGGATATACACAAACGACAGGAAGAGGTATAGATTACATGCCACCTTATATTACGGTTTATGCATGGTTTCGCGTTCAATGAACGCTCAATGTTTGTTTCACAAACTTTAGAACGGCATAATTTAAATTTTTATTTTAGTATAAATGAAGATTCTACCATATGGTGTTATTGGAAGAGATAAATATGGAAACCCAATATTTGATCCAAAGTTAAAATTAAAGTTACTGAAACCAAAACAGAATGAAAAAGAGAAAAAATGAGAAATGAGAAAATGAGAAAGAAAAAAATTTAAATTATGCAATTTTATTTTTATCATAAATGACAAAATTAATTAAGCCAACTATTTCTAAATTAATGATACCAATGAAATCATTTCATGGAGTACTTATCCCAGGTTCTTCACAATTAGCCGGGGCAAGTGTTGTGGCTCAAGGTGGAACATTAGCGAATCCATTCAAATTAACTAAAGATGAACTTAATAAAATGATGATAAAATAACTGATAACAAAATTTTATTTTTATATAAATGGATACCCCACAAGCTCAAAATTTACCACGAATCATAACAAGGGAGGAAATGATAAAAATGATGCAAGAACGAATTAAAAACAACAAACCACGAAAACCGAGAAGATGCGGTTATGCAGTAATGATGGAAAGAAGAACCCAGAAGGGTTCGGCGTCTCGAAGAGACGTTGTCGAAGAGGAATAAAAATTAAATTTGGATTGAGTTTAAAAATTCATCTTTATTAAATTCATCTCTTCCAATCAATTTATTTATTCTATTAAATTCTTTTATTTTTGCTTCACTCAGTTTAAGGATTGAACGGTAAGTTTCTAATTTTTCGATTATTTCTTTCCTCTCTTTATCGTTTTCAATTACTTTAGTTTTATGGGCATCAGCCCCGCCGCATTGCGGCTTCTTTTTGTAATAGCATATTTTTGATTTAATTCTGTTTAGTTTCTTTTTATATTCATTGTCTGGACTCTGAATCTTAATTGAATCAGGACTCTTGGCTGCTTTGTTGTCACTCATTTCTTACGAAATAAAAAAATTAAATATTATTTAAATATAATGGAGTAATAAAATAAATCGGAATTTCTATTAATTTATTGTCAACTTCAACTAATGCATTGCCGTTAATATATCTAACAAATTCAGCTATTGTGTCAAATCTTCGTCTTCTTTTTGTCATTGATTTATCAGTTTTTCCATAATCGAGATGAATCAAAACTTTATCCCCTTGTTTAAAATTCATGAGCCCCGAATTAATTTGTTCACGTTTAACATCATTTAACCTTTCCATTTGCTTTCTAATATATTCCCATTCTTTTGAAATATCATTTTTCATTTCCACTGGTTTCATGTTTATAGTTCTATGCCATGTATTATTGTAATAATATACTAACTGCTGTATGATGGAGTCATGATTTCCATCCCAGTATATCTGACCGTTAACCCCTAACGCATCTCTAAGAGTTCTCATTACCGCATCAACTATTTTATTATGAAACGTATATGGAGAAGATGAGAAGTAAAAATTAATTTGTGGGAAATAATGAGCCATAGCTGCCTGAAATCCTTTATCACCATCACCCCTTATATTATCTACTCTTTCATGATCTAGTAAGTATTGAATAGCTCTTCTTGTTTCCTGTTCTGTTTTCCCTTTCACCGGAATGCAATATAAATATCTAGTGTTAATGTTAATGGCAAATAAATAAGTAACGTTTCCTTTTGAATATTCCAGATGATCGATTTCGTATGAATATGGATATGGTGCAAATGAAGGGCGACTAAATTTTTCCTTTAACGGTTGAATTTTCGGGTCAATTGGTTTATTTAATATCTTGAAATCCTTTTTAAAATCTTTTTGTTTCTTTGGTGATTGAAATGGATATAATAAAGTGAATGATGAAGGATTAACTGAAGAAGGAAGAGGTACTGTCGTTGGAGGCTTTGGTGTTGCAGGTGGTTTAATTTTATCTGCTTTGATTTTGGATGATGAAGTTTTAGTTGTTGATTTTCCTTTCATTAATTCTGGATGTATTCTATTCATTTGTTTTAAATATGCTGTATATAAAGGTTTGATATACTTTCCCACTTCGAGTTTATGTTGAAGGATGAATTCCAAAAGTTGATCTTCATTTAAAAGTCGGGCTGAATATGGTTTAACTAATGAATCATAAATTAAAGCTTGTGCTTCATTTATGGTCTGAAGGACCTGGGCGTTTTGCACCTTTAGCTGTTGAACATTTGCTACTTTCTCTTTTGGTGTTGTTTTCGGCTTTTTCTTCTTTTGTTTTTGTTCCTTTGGCTTTTGCGGCTCAGGATTATATAATTTATATAATTCATCAATATCTTCTTCTGTTAATACTTTATTTTTGAAATCTTTCAACTGTTTAAGTTGTGATTTAGTTTTTCCCTTTGTATATTCATTATTTTTAATTTTGTCTTTAATTTCAGAAATTATTTTATCATGATATTTCAAAATTTCATTTTTATAATATGGATAATAATAATCCATATCATCACCCGTTATATTTTTATTATGTTTTTGGAGATATGATTTTAATTCATAATAATTAAGAAAATTTTGATTAAGTACTAAATCATCAATTAAATTTTCTAAATCTGCGTTATCCATTTATATAAAAATAAAATAAATGTTTTAAGGGTGCCCACCTCTTTGAATCATAGTATCAAAACCATTATTTACATATTGAATCGCATCATTAACGGTTCCTCCTTCTAAAACGGTATCAAATGGTGGAGTCCAGATTTCCTGATGATGATCATAAAATCCAGCAAAATTAACCGTATTATTAGGTAAAATATGAATCTCAGCGGTATATCTTCTATCTAAATTTGGATGCCTTATATGTATACCATTACTGCCCGGATAAAATCTCAAACCTTGATTTTGTTGACGCATCAAATTATTGAAATTTCTTTCTTCAGGGGTGAATGTTCTTCTCCGTTGACGTTGTGGTGGTGGTCGTTGTTGCTGCTGTTGATGCTGTGGTGGGATTTGAAAAATTCGTTGCGGTTGATTATTTGGAATCTGAAAGTTAAAACCATTTGGTATAAATCTATTCGGTTCCTTTTGTCTCTTCTGTGGCATTTTTAAAAAAAAATTTTAAATTCATGACTCAACCCCTACGTTTTTAAATTGTATTAAATAAATGGCATACAACATCCATTTTCACAACATACAGCCTTAGTGTGTGCTCCTGTTAATGCAGTCTTACCGATTGTTAAGCGAGTCATTGACCCGTTTTTAAGTTGTAAATTAATATTCTGACCATCAAATATCACTTTATCATTTATTATATCCAAATAATTTTTAGGTGTTAATTGTTTATTTTGTCGTAAACTAACACCTTTCATTTTTTGTGCAATCTTTTTAAAATCACTTCCATCAATTGAACCGTTGAATGATGTATAACACTTAGGGCATAAAGCAACCATGTTATCACCTTGTTTCTCAATTGCTAAACCCAATAACTTCTTCTCATGTGCTTTTTCTTCAGCTTTATTCTTTAATTTAGGTTTAAATTTCTCATCAAAACAGAAGAAATCAAATGGTGCGAATTTGAAAATGTTTTTATCATAAAATTGTTTATCGGTAACAATTGCTTGAAATGCTTGAGTGTTAGGAAGATTTGGGTCGCCAGCGATTGCCCAATAAGATGAATCAGTATCACCTTCAATGAAATGAAAACGATTAACATTCATGCATTTATACATAAAATCATAAATGAAAACCAAATACCAGTATTTAGCATTATCTAAAGTGAAGAATGCCTCTTGTAAACATGTATCACATCTATAAAATCTATCTTTAAGCATCACTTGATATGTATCTTCACCTATTTCTCTTATGTTTTTAAACTTATTTGACATACATGCAACGCGTGCCTTCTGTGCATTCATTATTTTAGTCTTTGCGTAATTTTGCGTATTCATTGCATCGTAACCATATGATCCATTAAGTGAAATCTTGCAAAATAAACTTTTTCCTTTATTTCCTTCTAATTCAGCCTTTTGTCTTTCGTTCATAAATTCGTTCGCAAATTCATTAAAACAAGTGTTTTTCGTAAATGTTAAAATTGATTGAATATCATCGATGATAAAATGAAATCTGTCTATTAGATACCAAAGATAATAAGAAGAAAATGGTTGATATTGGTTGTGTGTTGATGCTAACTGAGTTAATTTCCTCTGTTTCTGGTCAACTGGTAGATTGTTTGATTTCATGTAATTATACATAAAACTGCCAATTGTTTTTTCATCTGTGATAATATCTAAGTTTCTTATTATCGGTAAAAAGTTTATGTAATCATTAATGTATTTTTCATCAATGTGACCCTTTACTTCAGCCACGAATAAAGTATTTTTCTTCTTAATTATTCCCAGTGCTTTTGCTTTCTTTGTTGCTGTATCACAAATGATAACACCATTCAATCTTCCCGGCATATACATTTTATGGTCAGTATATTGAATGAAATCATGAGGATTAGATGAAAATGATGAAGGATATAATGAATTAAAATCAACACCAACGAAATGAGTCATGATGGGTGTCCTCATTTGATACAGTTTTAGTTTCTGGACTATATGAAAGTTTATTAATGTGCGTGATTCCTTTAAGATTAACACGATGTTGAACATTTGATAGACCACCAGTAATTCCATTACGGAGAATGTGATAAGCTTCAACTGAATCTAAAGTCATTGGTAAATTATTTTTTAATGCATAATTTCTTAAATTGATTCTTAAACGTTGAACATCTTCATCTTTATTTGATTTTACGACATTGCAATAACAACACATTAACTGACAATTTTCTTTGGTATGTGGTTTTTCATTATCGATTCTATCCAATGTTGGTTTATTTGCATATGTAAACGCTTTACCACACATTTTGCATTTAGATGAAAGGATTAAATCGTGATAGTATTGAAAATCATCCATTGAAACATTATTTTTAGTATCCCTTTCTGCTTTTTCATCTTGTTTCTTATATGATTCAATTTTATATTTCCAATACTTTTTCGTTAATTCAAAACTTGATTCTATCTCTTCCTCAGGATATTTTTCATTAGGATTAAAGTCTTTATATGCTAAAGCGTAACGAATCATTGAAGCATTCGATGATAAAGAAAGATTATGAAGCATATCAATTTTATAAACAAATGTTTCTTCAATAATTTTATCGATTGGGTCAATCATAATTTCAACATCTTTATTGCAATAATGAATAAAATATTCTAATCTATTCTTAAAATTTTTAGCATCATTGAGATATATTTGATAATCACTATCTGATATAGTTTCTTGAGTTAATGCTGAATAAAATGAATCTTTCGTGAATGGTTCCTTTATATAATTCTTCTTCGAATTCTCCCATGTGATAAATTGATAAGGGAAAAAGGATTTAACACGTGATTTATTGTTTCCGAAATCTTGAGTGAATTGGTCTAATGTCCCACCCGCTATATAATTTCTGATGTCAATAAATCTCAATTCATATGGAACGTTTGTTTTCTTTACAATGATTTGCTTAAATTGTGAAGATGAACCCAGCATTGATTTTATTTTCCATTTTGCAGTGTTTAAATCACGAAGAATTAAATTTAAATCAAACTTTCCCGAATTAAAACCTATGATATTCACTTTATTGAATTCCTCATCTAGAAGTTCTTTAAATGCTTCCTTCTGTTTTTCATTTAATGTATGGGACAAAGTCCCCGCCGTTTGCGGCTTCAATAATTCATTGTATTGACTCATATTTGATTCAACAACTAATGAACAGGTTGAAAATAAAAACTCAATCCAATCAGAAATAAAAGAATCACTCGAAGTTAAGCAAAAATTCCTCGTATATGTTTTATCATTTAATTTAACCGTTGATGATACCATGAATGGTTTTAAGTAAGCGTTCAAAGTTGCACACTCAGAAAGTTGTAATTCTTCTTTAGTCTCTAATGTTTCGAAGTCAAAAGTAATATAATATCTTGTCGGTTTATAATATTTCTGCAAATTGTGAGCTAATAACCACTGATATATCTTCTGTTTCGTAATATGTGGTGCATATGGTTGCTGGTCTTTTGCAATTGAACGTCTTGAATTAATCTTCCATTATTTTCTTTACATTTCTCACAATGCTTTAAAAATCTTCTTTGGTTTTTCCTTTCTGGATCATCACGGATAGAATAAACTTCTTCTTTACAATATGGACAAACTTTATAGCCGGTGAGTGCTTCAACGTCTGTTATTCTGTCAGCGTGAAGTTTTCCACATGGACTCTGTGTTAATAAAATATTTACTGTTTCAAATTCTGGATCTATCATTATTGATTCCACTAATGGAAAGTCTACCTTATTTATGTCCACGTCTTCTGGTTGAGGATCACAATAATAGAAATCAATATTAACATTTAACATTCTCGCTAATCTCTCACTTTCTGATGAAATGTCAAACCCTTCATATGCATCTATTGCTTCATTTAAATAGCTTCTACGAGTTTTAGGATTAACACCATCAGGAATGTTATAGAAGCGTTTAAATAACCTTCTACCTTCTGCTCTAATTTGATTATCATTCATTTTAGCTGTTCCGTTTTTGTTCATTTATGTAAGAATAAAAAATTAAAAAATAAATAAAAATAAAGTTTATTTTTTAAAGCCCATAAAATGAATTAAGAACACATAAATTTTTATCATCTGCGACGTGACGAATACATTTTAATTTACTCAAGAATGCGTACCCTGATACATTAAATCTAATTCCTGTCTTATTTAATTTCACAACTTTGAAAAGGAATGTATGAATAGCTATAAAATGATGAGAAGATGTTTTATGGGTTGCTTCCATTTTTTCTGAAATAAATGAATAAATATAATGTTTATAAGTTTTCATATCTTTTATGTTCTTAATAACGAATGGTATAGACCTTTCACTTCGTCTTCCTTCGGTGCTGTTCTTTCATATGAAACATTATTGGTATCTTCAACAATGAAACCACAATCACACAAAATTTTATAGTTCCAATGGTTTCTTTTGATATTTTATCTAATAAATCAAAAACTTTATCAACACCTGTGCATTTATTTAAATAATAATTTGTGTAAATATCATGATCTTCTTTCTTAATCGTATTAGTTGCATATGTCACGTTTTTAAGAGCTTTTTTGAATTTTTCGGAATCTAAAGGTGGTGAAAGTAGATACAGGGGTATTCTTCATTATCAATAAATTGTAACTTATGTTTACGAATAAATTTAGTACCTTCTTCTGAAAGTGTTTCGTCTATTTCACCATCTAATAAATTTTGTGTTGATTCTGAGACATAATTTTTATATCTTTCTTCATGAGATTTCTGTACTTCTGATTCTGAAGCTGGGATATTCATTAAACCCTCTACTTCATTTTCATTATATTTTTCAACTTCTCTTAATTCCTTAATTTTTTCATCTATTTCATCTCTTATTTTTTTCAGTCTTTCAATTTCATTGTATTCATCATCTTTAATCCGTTCTTCATAATATTCAGGGAAAACATCAGGTTCTTTAGGTTTTTCTTCTTCAGATGTGGGATATAAGAAATTTATAACATCATCTTTATTCATTTTTCCATCATAATCTAAATCATTTAATAACTCGGCAAATTTTTGACAATTTCTTAAATAATATTTATTAACTTCATAACCTACCTCCTCTAATATATCCTTTATTTCCTCGTTTGTGAATCCTAATTTTTTAACGTTGTTAGTTTTGACGCTCATTTCATACAAAATAAAAAAATAAAATAATAAACATAACTAAGTTTTAATTTTTCGTAAGAAGTTTATTTTATTTTTATATATAAATCATTCTTAAGGTCAAACAGACTTCTTATTTTTATATGAATTCCATCCTCTTTAATGTCATCAATGATTTCCATTTCATTATTTTCAATTTCTTCTTCTCGTTTATGAGGTCTTTGATTATGACTCCATTGATTCCATGAAATTAAATATTCTTTATCATTATATTTATACCTCATTAGCTTATTTTGGCTTTCATATTCATTTAATAATTCACAATCTTCATTTTTAAATTGAAGTTTAACCCATTCAGGATTTAAACAATGTTTAATTAATCGCGGAATATCTGACATCATCTATATATAGCTTCTTTTATAAAAGATAAAAAAATAAATTATTTTAAAAATAACTTTAATTTTAAAATGATTTATAAATAAATATATTTTAATGCATCGTCTATATATAGATGTAACAAAAAAAGTCACTAAACCCGTCATATCCTACTACTAACTTATCATTTGGAGAAAGTTTCCCAGCTATCTATTAGAAACTAAAGGCTGTGAGGCACTAATATATAATCAGTGCCTCATAGCCTTTAGTTTCTTAATAAAAACGAGAAAACTTGTTCGAAATGATAAACAATTTCGAACAAGTTTTCTCGTTTTAAGGAGGGAATTGTTCCTTATGAGGTATACATCATAACTATATACCTCATAAGGAACAATTCCCTCTTGATATCCTGGATATTTTTGAATATATTTTTTTAATTAAAGTTCTCAAAAGTATTATCAAAAGTGATTTTTAAAAAATATCTCCAATTAATTAACTAATTAAAAGTATTATATTTTTAAAATTAAATAGTTTTTCAATTTTTTTGAAGGAATTGAGATACTTCCCACGACAATAAAATTGAGAGGTTTACATTATGACTGATCTTAGCATGCAACATTATAACTGAAAAACGAGTGAGGAGTATAAAAAATTAACCTCAACTGAATTATCGAACATTCAAAAATGCCTTATTTTCAAAACAACCAAAAACGTACTTCTTTTTACAGAATCTATCATAGAGATATTTTGACATCAAAATATAAAATCTTCGTTTTATTGTACTATCAAAAAATCTCTTTCAATTTTTCAAATTTTTTGTCAAATCTTAAATTTATAATATGAGTGAAGGGGATCGAGCCAACGTAGAATTGTTGAGTCAAAATGACGAGGAAGAGGTTCATAGTATTGTCGAAGAAGTTGCAAAGCCAAAATCCAAATATTCTAAAATTCCTTGTCTCCCAAAAATGTACTGGTTCTTTTACCGAAAACCAATGAACTTCCTTATATTTATACCTTCATTAATAGTCGGATAGACATCAATTCAGTCAAATATTTACGCAGGTAAAATTATTGATACCCTTAGTACAGAGAATCCAATTCAACTGATCAAAAAGTACTCAATTATAATGTTCGTAATAGCTATAATTAATGCAATCTTGAATTTTATCAATAATACATTCTGGAATCAAATTGGATCATCAATCAGTAACAAAGTTAAGAGATGTGTCTTCAAAAAGTTTATGGAAAGCGATGTTACATACATTGATAGGAATTCCATTGGTGATTCATTGAATTTATTAAATGAAGATCCGGCCCAAATTTCATCTGTATTTAACTTCTCAAAATATATGCAATTAAGAAATATTGGCCAAATTATTGCATTCGTTTTTACAGGATTCACAATTAGTGCTCCATTAACTTTATTTGCAATGTTCATGTCAATTTTCACAACATATATCTTTCATAAGATTAGAGATTATGCAGTCAACAACATTAGAGCAAAATTCAAAGTGAATGCAGCAGCTATGACAGTTTGTTTAGAAACGATTTCAAATCCAAGAACAGTTTACTTTTTCGATCAGGAAGAAAGAAGCATAAACAAGTATTATACGATTGTTGATCGTGTTTGCCAACTTGAAAGAATCTTTCACGGAATCTTTTCAATTTCATTTGGTGGAGAACGTACATTTAATGAAGGAACATTTGCTGTAGTGTTATCATTTGGTGGATATCTTGTGATTAGTGATAGAATGTCTGGAGGAAACCTTGTTGCAATGTTGAGAATTATCAGCTCATTTTCATTTTTGTTTGGTCTTTTGATGGGAACAGCCAATAATGAGGCAAGAAGTATGGAAGCAGCAAATAGAGTATTTAATTTATTAGAAAATACTCAGACTGTTGACTTGAAGAAAGGTTTAGAACCAGAATCATTGAAAGGAGATATCGAATTCAAGAATGTTTGGTTCAAATATCCAACTCGTGATCAGTGGGTTCTTAAGAATGTTTCATTCAAAATCAATTCAGGCGACATCGTTGCATTTGTTGGACACAGTGGCTGTGGAAAGAGTACTATTGTTCAGTTACTTCTCAGGTTCTATGATGTCAATTCAGGTGAAGTCTTGATTGATGGTCGAAACATCAAAGAATATTCACCATCATTCATTCATCGAAACATCGGTGTTGTTCAACAAGACAGTGCATTATTCACACTTAGTGTTCGAGACAACATTTTATATGGCAAGACAGACTCAACGAACGAAGACGTCGAGAATGCTGCTAAAGTTGCATTTGCACACAACTTCATCATAAAACTTCCACATCAATACGATTCCATGGTTGGTGAGAAAGGCACAACACTGAGTGGTGGACAGCGCCAACGAATTGCCATTGCACGTGCTGTTCTCAAGAATCCATCTCTCCTCATCACAGACGAAGCGACAGCGGCACTTGACTCAGTGAGTGAGAAGAAAGTCGAGAAAGCACTTCGTTCAGTGATGTCATCACGAACATCTATTATCATTGCACACCGCCTTGGTACGATCCGATGTGCATCACACATCTTTGTTCTCGATGACGGCGAAGTTGTTGAAGAAGGCAGTCACGACGAACTCATTTCACGAAGAGGTGTTTACTACGAACTTGTTAAAATCCAACTCGATGCATAAATAGAATATATAAATGTTTTATTTCTATCTAACATATAAATGTTTTAACATAAATAAAATCATTTTAGAATCAATGTCTGAAAGTTCAAATGAGGAATCACTTGAAGACATTGCTTCTTTACTTGATATTTCCTTTGCAAACGAAATGCTTCGGAGAGAAATAGATCTCCAATCTTTAGCAAATGCTGAAGAAAACTCTGTAAATTTAAATACTATATCAAATCCGTTTGTAATGGATTTACTTGATAAACTTGATCGCCATGAAAAAAATTTACAAAAAGAACTTGATGTTATCGTTCTAGAAAGAGCAAAACCGGATGGAATTAAAAAAGTTTTTACAACAACACCTCAAAATCGCAAGATAATATTAAGATCTATTCTTGTAGCTAATCAAGTTCAAGATCTTGAACAACAAAAAGAACAATTAGTCAAAGAAAATCAAGAATTACTCGATTTTATACAGATATGTCAGTAAAGTTAACAAATTATCTACACATTCTTCTGACACTAGTGATTATGTTATAGTTTATTGATAAAAACGTTGTATTTGTTTGTTTAAAAATTCAAATTTTTATTTTACGCATTTCACATCAGATTTAAAGAGATTACAGTCACATAGTAAAGTAAAACTGATTCTATCAATAGTCTCGATTGGATGATACACGATATTCAATGAAATCTATTAGCATGAGTTCAACTAGATTTATAATAAGATGAAGCAAAAGATTGTTAATGTACAATACATTTACGATAGAAAATATAAAAAAAATGATTTAAGTAAAATTAACAACAAAATTTCAAAGATCGTGATACATTTATGATATGTATTCCTTCTATTCTCTGATACAATAGGAGGTTTAATTACTTCAATATGTAATTTCGGAATATTATATTATTCCTCTGATAATTCATTAGAATTTGCTTCCAAAGCTACTTCTAATGAATTAAATTCAATAACATAATCAAAGTCATCATATTTCTCGTCAAATTTGTGAATTAGAAAATTAATAAAAATTAAAGCAGAACCACATACCAAGTTATTAGCAAAATCTAATGATGATACTATCAAGCTCGATACTGATACAAAGTCACTTGTAAGAAATGAGAAAATAAATAATTTGAAAACAAAATGAAATATTGCAACTGAAATATAGGTTAGAGTATTGTTATGAGGCTGGTACTTGGTTGGATAAATTATTAAGCCTATTATTACTAATAAAATTAAAATAATATTCAATACTTTCATAATTGTATTGAAATTCAGATCAGCGGGCAAAAGATTAACATACAGACAACTTATTCTAGGTATTAAGTGCAGAATGTTTAAGATTAAAGAATAAATCTCTGAAAAAACTATTAATTTGAGATGTTCTTTAAAAATTATCCGTTTGAAGTTGAAAATTAATGATGTTTCGACAAATACGAGCATAAAATTGTAAATAAATTGTAAAAACAGATCAATTTCTTTGGAATTAATTATTTCGACGAAATATGCCATTGGATTTGAGTTTAATAATGTAAATATAAGGTATAATCCATATATTATCATATATGGTCTCGAATTCTCATGAGAAAATAAATTCGAAAATTCTGCAAAAACTGGATAAATAACGAGCAGCAATGAATATATTCTTAAATTTCTTGTATAAATATTCGTATCTGTATCAGGTTGTGAATATTCGAATCTCATTCCTGTCGCATTAAACAAATTTCCATAAAAAGAAACTTGAACATCAAAACTATCTCCATATGTTAACTGATCATTAATTAGTGTATAAGGTACTGATATTCTCTCGTCAGGTTCAAAAAACAAACTAAAGTTGTCTTTTATTATTAATTCTTTCGTTTTAGAATAAATTTTCTTCATGTTCATTAGTACATTCATTGTTTCATTATATTCTGAAAATGGTCTAACTACTGAAACATTTATTTGAAGAAATTTACGTAAATTTTTGATAGGAGCAATGCCAAAATTAAAATAACACTCTGTGTATGAATGCATTCTATGAAATGGTTGAAATTCTACAGTTGTTAACTTTGAACTCTGATGCCTGAATGCTAAATATATAAAATTCAAAAAAAAAGCAATGATATATACCAATGCTGTCCAAATAAATGGGTCATGTGGCCGATTTATTTTACTTTTTGTCTTTGGCTGTTCCTTTTCTAATGGAATTTTGGAAAACATCCAAAAACTCAAGTAAAAATTTAGTATGAATGTGTTTTTATATGAAAGTAATATTGCACTTATATTAAGTACAATAAAGGAAAACGCCTTATATTCAGTTCAGATGTTTGCTGCTTCTTTTTAATTTTGATTTATTATATCTTATCGATTAAGTTAATATTTAAAGAACCATTTTTATTTTTATGATGTATAAGCTTTATTATCATTGAAGAAACGCATCAGAAACAAGTTTATAAAAAAATACAAATATTTTTATTGAATTTCAACATAACAAACAAAATGTTTTTCTGGAATAGCCTGAGAAATTGGAGTTTCTGATTCCTCGATTTCAATTGGAGGAAATCCAGCTTTAATAACAAATTCTTCTGGAAAAACAAACTTTCTAGCAAATGTAAATAACATAGATGTTGGACCATCGCGTGGAAATGCCCTTGTTTGGTTTGAATTTGCATTTGGAAATTGGAATTTGACTGTAACTCTATCTCCTGTTGTTGGCGGTGAAGGAAGTGATGCAAATGCTTCATCAACTGTTTGCTGAAGTACTTTGTTGGTTTCTTCCTGTAATTCTTCTTCTTCTTGATGTAATTCTTCTTGTCTGATTCTTTCTTGTTCACGTTCGAGCGCCCGTTGATAAGCAGCATCCTGATCGTTAACGACAGTTGCTTGGGCATTCTCTGTCTCATTATGTTCGATTCGAATGTAAGAAAGCAAAACTGTTTCGCCAATCAAGCCCTCATGCTGAACAAATATCTGTGATTGAGCTAATGATGTACCTCGTGGACGAACTAAAGCGATTAGAGGCAATGAATGGAATTTTAACATATTTGCTACATTAATACCGTCTGGCGTTGTAATATCGAGAGGTAGGAACAAAAAGCTACGTTGCATTTCTTGCGAAACTGAATCTGAAGACAATACATTGATTACTGGCTGAGTTATTAAATTTTCGCGGCAATAAATGAAAATAAACAATGACCGGTTCAAATTCTTTGCATCTACAAGTGCTTCTTCAATAGGTCCTGGATGTGAATCATATTGAAAACCCCAAGATGCAGAGAAGTCATTGTGAACGTCCTGATATCCATTATCAGAAGGGAGATTGCCATATTGGAATCTGTGCTTAAGTTTCTTTAAGAATCCTAAGACTGTAAGCTTATTTTCGGCAAGCAAATGTTCACCTTCCATTTTTTACAAAATTTTGTAAAAATTTTGGATAAGATTTTCTCAGAATATATTCATTATCCGATGTTCTGAATTTTTGTTAAAATTTTGTAAACACTTTGGAAAATTCGTAATCAGTAGTGGATATGACGGGTTGTGTGACTTTTTTTGTAAATGTAAGAATTCATACGATATTGAACGATTTTGTATCATTATTTTTGACATATGAAGTAAAAAATGTATGATTCTTACGGTTTTTATTCTTACGTTTTAGAATAAATCAAGATTTAAAAATGTAAGACATTTACACTCAACCCATACATGATGTAATAAACACATTAAAAATAATTAACATTAATTTTAAAAATAATTTATTTCATCTTTTATAAAAGAAGCTATATATAGATGATGTCAGATATTCCGCGATTAATTAAAACAAGTGTTTAAATCATGAATGGAATCAATGGAGTCATAATCAAAGACCTCATAAATGAGAAAAAAGAAATTGAAACTAATGATTATTTGAATTTATGAAATCAATTATTTGATTCATTCTTTCTTCAATCTCTTCTATTCTTTTTGTTAAATCATCAATTTTCATTAATGAGGTGATTCTTGATTGAGGAATAGATTTCAAACTAACCACCCCCTTTATTTTTGAAATTTTGAATCCATCAACTTTAAACATTTTAAGTAGTAGAAGCATGCGGGGTGTGTGACTTTTTTTGTAAACGTAAGAATTCATACAATATTGAATGATTTTGTATCATTTATTTTAACATTAATTTTAAAATAAAGTTATTTTTTTATTCTTACATAAATGACCCAACAAGTAAAACCTGATAAAGTGGATAATAGAATTTTAGAGGATGGTGTTCCTGTTTACATTCAAAGATTTAAAGGAAAACAATATTACAGAATGATAAATCCTGAATATGTGAAACATATATTTAATAAAGAAGGATGTAAAGTTTTAAATATTGAAGAGTTTGAAAATACTAAATCTATAATAAAATATGAATTTAGGAATAAATGTTATACAGTTTCATATTATGAATGGAAAACCGGTAAGATTAGAAAACATTTAGGAGATTATGGGGAAAAATCTGAATTCTTTAAATCTAGTATATACGAGAGAGTAAAAGAAATTAGATATAATTATTTTCATGAATGAAAAATAAACTTTAAAAATTTATCTGCATTTTGAAAAAATTTTATTATAAATGATAATATAATTTATTAAATTAATATATAACTTATGAATAATTTATTTTTTTAATTCGTAAGAAAATGAGTGGATCAAGATTCGTAACCGTCAATCAATTAATGGATGCTCTTTCACCAATTCTTGAAAATGTTAAACAAGTAGATGTTTATTTCGATGATTATGTAGAAAGTTTATATTATAAAGGTAAACATAATATTAAACCCATTGCTTTTGCATTTGATAATAAATTAATTGAAAATGCAAAAATTTGGGAATTAATTCCAGATATTGAATTTATAACAAATATTAAGGATAAATGGTTTAAACGAATTCCAACCACTAAAGTTCTTTGTAAATTAATGATCAAAACCGAGGCCAAAGAATTTCATGAATTTACATATCATCCAAATAAAGTTTCAGAACTAGAAAATGAAAAACTTCAGAAAAAATTAAACGATAGACTTTCAAATGATCGTATTGAAAAAATAAATAAACTAGCAGAAGTTGCATTTAATAATGAAATATTTGATGAATATAACCTTGAACTCAGTGATGGACTTTAAGTCCTGGGCTTTAAGGACCCGGCTCAACGAGTTATGATTTATGAAATCAATTATTTGATTCATTCTTTCTTCAATCTCTTCTATTCTTTTTGTTAAATCATCAATTTTCATTAATGAGGTGATTCTTGATTGAGGAATAGATTTTAAACTAACAACACCTTTTATTTTTGAAATTTTGAATCCATCAACTTTAAACATTTTATTCAATTACATGTTGTCAATTCTAAATAATTTTTTATTATTAGCATAATAGTCATTAAATTCTTCAACAGATGAAAAAATTTTTGTTTCAGTAATGGGTTTAACAATGTTTATTTTATTTTGAACATCTTCACTTTCATTTATTTCTTCCTTCTCTGTTTCATTTATTTTTAATATTGGTTTCATTTATCATTAAATAAAATTAGAATATAAGTGATGAAATATATTTTTTAATTAATATTAAATCAGAAATGGCGGCAGGATTCTTTAAAAAATTATGGGAAGGAATTAAGAAAGCAGCAAGTTGGGTTCATCAGAAAATAATAAAACCCATTGCAAACTTTTTGGCACCAGTAGCGAAAACGGCAGGAACTATAATTGGTGGAGTATTAGGTGCTAAAGCAGGTAATCCAGCGATGGGAGCACAAGCAGGTAACGCGGTTGGTGGAATTGCTGAAGGAATACTTAATAAAATAGGAGGAAAGTAGTGGAAAAATAAATATTATTTTTATCTCAATATCGGTTGTAGTCTTTGATAAACTTTTGCTCCCTTATTTAAAACTTCTCTTACCGGAACATTAGGTGCTATTTGTTCCGCAACGTCACTAATTGCTTCTTTATTCTTAAATATCCAATTTGCTCCCTTCTTCATTGTTTCCCAAACTTTATGCGCTCCTCTTTTTACTTTATCCCATAATTTTTTAAAGAATCCTGCAGCCATACTTGATTATTTCATTAAAATTAAAAATTCATTTTCATCTTTTAATTTTGATTTTTTTATTTCATCATAAATGACGACTAACTATTTGGTGCCAAACACTAAACGATTAATGGAAATGTATTTCATTCATTCGAAAAGATAAATGAAATATTCGCAAAGAATGACGGTAGAAGATATATATAGAGAACTTGAAAGTTCATGCTATGACTCTGATGCTCCATATTTTGATGATAAACAAACTCATTTAAGAATTACAAATCCGGCTCATGATGTGAACCAATTAGGTGACACATATATTAAACGTAAAGTTAAAGCAACTTTAGTTTCAAATAAAGCTTTCACATGTGATGCCGCTTTTAAATGCATGCGTTTATTCGTTGGTTATAAATCATCAAATCAAAACTTTAAGCAATTAGAAGTAGAAACCGAAAGAGGTGATGCCGGCTATCTTCAGATGGATTGTGCCCGTGAATCTTTCGCATTTGCAACATATAAACCAAAATCGGAAAGGAAAGTTAAAAAGTTTGTTCATTCATTATATAACAATGTCCAAAAATATGATAACTCAGTATGTGGTAAATATATTGACCCCTCGGAAGTTTTCAAGAGAGCAAATGAAGAAGTTGATATCACTTTTGATATGATTATTCCAGTAAACGATTTGTTAGCATTTCAGGCGTTCGACGATTATCCTAAATCATTTGGTGATATCATTCTTAAATATTATGTTTTCAGGGATACTTTGGTATTTTGCCAAGTTGACCCGTTAAGAGTTGCTGATTTACAAAATTACGTTTATGAAAAGATAACTGATGAAAATTATGAAAAGATTATGAATCATGTTTATAAATACGATCGCAAATTCCAACAAATCGGACTTCCTGCAAAATTAATTACAAGCTTAGCCGCTACATCTGCTGACGCAACAGTTGAAGACGTTATTATTTCATGCACAAAGATGGAAGTTTTAGAGGATAAATGTATTACACCAGGATATGGTTTAATTGAAGAATCAGTTAAAGCAATACCACGTTTATTCAGTAAGGAAGATCCATTCATGATTCCAGCTCAACATATTGACGTTCGCTCACTAAATGGAGGTTGCATCACTCCTGAAGGTATCAGCTCTGATTTCTCATATGCTCTTCATAATGTTACAGATATTGTGTTAGCATTTCCGAAGAATGCAATGCAAAGAACAGTTTTAGAAAATCCAATGCTTCGAGGTCTTCAGGTCACTATAGATTCCAGAAACTTCCCCGATCAAGCGATGACCACAGTGGGTGACATATTCTTTACACGTATGCTTCAAGCTTCTGATTTAGATGGAGTGAATGAATGCACGGAAGAATACGAGGACTCATTAACTAGACCACTGAATGATGATAATGGCACGCCATTAGCTAGAACATGGAAAGACCAAACTTCATTCTTATGCACTATTCCAGTTCAACGTGATGGAGCGGGTATATTCTTTGATGGATTAGAAACTTTCAACTCACAAGTTACAGTACAAGTGAAAGCTTATCCAATCATTCAGGGTGAAAATGACACTTACTGTTCAAAGGTGACAAATCCTCCTCAGGTTTGGTTTACTAGGACTACATATTGGACATGGACACCGGATGAAGGTTTGAAATATCATTCAACAGGTACACCACCACAGTATAGAAGTTCATATGATGAAATATTGATGAATAGAAATGTTTAAAATTATAAATTTATTTTTGATTAAATGGATTTCAATTCTGAAGAATTAACAGGAGTATATAATACATACATAGATGATATGATTAATGAAGCATTGGGTGATAATAAAAATGCTCTATCTAAGGAAAAATTAATGAAAATTCCATATTCTGAATGTTATTTAAATTCAATCACTGCAGCAATTGGTAAACAAAATAAAGGTAAAACATTAACGATATTAAAACAAATTATCATTATTGCTAACACTTCACCCTATTCACATGTGTTAATTTATATCAACCGTTCAGGTTCACCTTCAGATGATACATTTGAATCTTTAAAGCATTTAATCAAAATTCCAATTATTTATTTATCACAAGAAGAAGCGGAAGATTATTTGAAAAACTTTTTAATGTATAAAGAGTTATATAATACAATCAAGAAGCAAGGATTAGATGATAAAATTATTGATAAACAAAGGGATGAATTATTTGAAACACTTTCTATTTCAAATTTTGATAAAGAATTTTTGCATTCACTAATTTTTCTAGATGATGCCGTGAAATCAAAACTAATAACTAATGAGAAATCATATTTTAATCAATTATTAACTCAATGTCGACATATTCAGTGTTCATTCTTCATGGCTGTTCAATACTTTAAAGCATTAAGCACAAACATTAAATCAAACCTGTCCACCCTTTTCATTTTCAGTGGGTTTAGTCGTCAACAGTTGAACGTTATGCTTTATCAAGTGAATTTACCAATGAGCATTAATGAACTTTACACACAATATCAACAATTAGGAGAACATGGAAAAATAATAGTTGATTTAAATAAAGGTTCCATTAAATTCGAATAACTTTTTATAATTAATTTTTATTTTTTATTTATAATTAAACATGACAGAAATTGCAAATCTTCTACAGGTTCCATTAAAACAAGGGACAAACAAAAAGGGTGCATATAATAGAACTATGAAAGTTCCAGACGGAATGAAAGAATTAGTCCACATTGTTGCCGGTCTTCAAAAGGATGTTAAACAAATGAGAAACGTTTTAACATTACCAGAAGCTCAAGCATATGCCAAACGTCATGGACCAAATTGGGAAGCACATGAAGCAGACATTACAGGACCAAATGGAAAGCCTGATGGTATAAATGAAGTCTTTGTTACTGATGGTCAAGGAAATATTAAAGTCATAAATGGGTATAAATTAACAATGACGGATTATCCTAAACGTAAAGCATATAATGAACGTTATCCTATGCAATTTGATGAAAATGGAAAAGCTGTTAAACAATACATTGGAGAAGGTGAAAATGGTCCAATTAATTCATACCGTCATAATCCATATTCTTATTTCAATGAAGAATTAAATGCTATTGAAGAAGGACCAAACGGATTACCTCAATATGTTAACCAGTTTGATGGTCAATATGCAAATATTAGACCTGAAATTTCAGCTAAGAAATTCTTTAAAGTTGCTTTATTCGATCCAGTGTTCAATGAACAGAAAGAAGCAATGAAAGCAGAATTTAAACCAATTCAAGTGGCAAGAATTTCTTCATCTTCACTTTCAGAAGCGTTCAAGGAATTGATAAAGAAACCACTTTATTCTCAACAAGGATATAACTTTGATTTAATTAAAGAAAGTGATAGACGAAATTAGAAAAATCGGATGATTTTAAGAATGCATGTAATGAAATGATTAAAGATATTGTAAATGATAAAATAAGACTGGGAAGAAACTCAAATCAATATCAATAACATAATTGGTGCAGTTACAAAGAAAGTATAAGCAAACAAGGATGAACCTTGGGATATTACCGTAACAACTAAATAAAACTTTAAATATATTTTTCTTTTTTTTATTCAATTATAAATGAGAAGACGTTTCACAAGTCAAAAGAACACAAACGCAAAAGCAGAGATTACGGTTGGTTATAATGTAAATGATGATAAATCACGAATTATTCAAAATGTTAAAGTTAATGTTAGTCCTGAATTAACAAGGTCAGCAACTCAACCAAATTTATTAACTCGTGACTTACCAAAGAAAGAAGAGGAGCAAAATAAAGAAGATGGAGACCCAATCATTTTATCTGAACCTGGAAAAGAACCTGTTGAAATTCCCACTTATCCAACATACCCCCCACCACTTGATAACCCATATAAAGTAGACATTAATTCAGAATTAATGAAAATATATCGCGATATCATAACTGATAATTATGATTCAATAATAAATTTAATTGACCAATCCGGTTTAATTATTTTACCTTATGAATCATTAATTCATTATCGCCATTCTTTGTGATGTTCAAGTTCAGATGTTAAGATTCAATTTTCATAGATGATGAGGTTTCATGCTGCGGAACAGTTGCAAAAATAAATCCTATAAAGGATATTAGCACAATTAAGATATCAAAGAACGGAACAACAACTGAACTTACATTTAACATATAATGATATTTATAATAAAATAGTTGATGAATATAAAATATCACTTTGAAAAATTCTTTGTTAAGGCTATTTAATATTCAAGCATTAACATTATCGAATAATAATCCTTTGAATCATAATCAATAATAATTGACCTTTCACCAGTTTCTATCGTTTGTTTTATTTCTTTTTGTTCCCCCTATCTGGATCGGTCATTGTAATTGTTTTTGTTATAGTATCAAGCTTTATCTTTAACTTCAATCTTTTTTCCATCAGGATATTTAAACCAAAATTCCAAAAAATTCGATATTGTCAATCTGTTCATATTTTAATCTATCAATTACTTTTTAATACCATCTGAAAATCTTATGAAATGTCATTATATGGGTTTGATTGAACCAAATTGAATGAAGTGAAATATAACCTGTGATGAATATGACATCGACTCATATTTTCTGAAAACACTAAAATTTATAACATGAATGAATTTCTTATTCGTTGAATTTATGAATTCTTGAGGTAATCTTATTCTAGTTTTATTTACACTGGAAAATAACGCTTTACCATATTTTTAATCGTAATAAAAAATGTCAATTATCAATATTATTTCGAATAATAACTGTGAATTAAATTTAACAGTTAGTGGAATTTATAATGTTTCTCTCGTTTCTGTGAGTGGTAAATTTAATCCCATTCTTTAGACCTTCGGATTATATATCATTTATTAAAGATGACCATGAAAAAACGTATGATATGTATATAAATAATGTGATAGTGAAATGGGATATTAACATGATTTTAAGTTATTTAAATGAATCATTTATCGTATGGTATGAAGAAAATTTTAAATCAAAAACTGATAAACTTTTTGAACTTGATGAAATAATAATCTTATTAATTTCCGCTGAAAATTAAATTTTTGTACTCCTCGTCTTCGTTCATTGTTGGGGATATTAATTTTGAAAAAAGATGTTGGGGATGTTTTGTATTCTGACACTGGTTCCAATTTCATTTTAATCAAATGTGATAAAGTTAATACCCCAATGAGATTTTCACACCAAACATTAGACCCTAACTCTTACCCATCAATACAAAACATTTTATCCATCAACTTAAACACATTTTCTTTATCATATCCGTTTCAATTATCCGGGAATTCATTTATTCTTCATTCAAAAGATTTATCAAATATTAAATTTAGAATAACTGACCTATTTGATTGTGATTTAGAATTTATGAATGAAATATTATGGACTTTTCAAATAGAGAAAATAGCTGATGAGATAACGGATTAAATATTTATTTTTAAATCGTAATAAATGATTAAACAACAGCAACCACAACAACTTAAGGCACAAACCATTACATACGCCACATATGCATATAATTCAAAGACGGCAGAACAAACACAAAGGTTGAAATATGGAGATTTGGAGATAGTATTGAAAAATGACCATTTCGAATTCGTTTGCAAAGGTGGTGCGGTGATATCAAATATAAAAGAAATTTTATTTATGAATTCAAAAATTAAAGGAATAACGGATGATATAACATCAATTCCACCAGAAGAACAAAGATATTACGCATTAAATGCATTTCCTAAAGTTTTGAAGATTGGAAGATTTAATTTAAATGAGGAATTCATAGAAGGTTTCCTAAATGACATAATGAAGAAGGCGGATAAGGAATACGTGGATAGTGAGTTAAATAAGAAAGCAGATAAGGAATACGTGGATAGTGAGTTAAATAAGAAAGCAGATAAGGATTGGACATCGGCGACTTTTAACGTTAAAGCTGATACAAAATGGGTTTTAGCATGTTTAGACAATAAAGCTGATAAGGAATACGTGGATAGTGAGTTAAATAAGAAAGCAGATAAGGATTGGACATCGGCGACTTTTAACGTTAAAGCTGATAAGGAATACGTGGATAGTGAGTTAAATAAGAAAGCAGATATGGATTGGACATCGGCGACTTTTAACGTTAAAGCTGATACAAAATGGGTTTTAGCATGTTTAGACAATAAAGCTGATAAGGAATACGTTAATACTAAATTAAATACAATTCTTGAGATGATTTACCCCATTGGTTCAATATATACATCAATGAATTCAACAAATCCGGCAAGTGTTTTAGGTTTTGGTACATGGCAAAAATAACGATCGTTTCTTATATTGTGCTAACTCATCAAAACAAACAGGAGGAAGTAAAACAATTACGGGTGAAAATTTACCTGCTCATAGTCATTACGTTAATTTAAACACAACTGAAGCAGGATGGCATAAGCATAGATATTGGGATTGGTCAGGAATGATAAAAGGTAAAGGATATGATGTTAAAGATGAAGTTAAATTTGCTATTAATTGTTACTGGAGCGATACACAGGGTTCAGGTAATCATACACATAATGTTTCAGGATATACACAAACGACGGGACAGAGTAAAGATTACATGCCTCCCTATATGACAGTTTATGCATGGTTTCGCACGGACTGAAAGTCATGAGCTCCAATTCAGCATACCTCAGTAATGAAATTATACAACTGAAGACCATAACCATAATATTAATGTTTTCATTATTTTTTTCAGTGTGCCTATGTGCCCATGTGTGCCTAGGTCAATTAACTTCTTTTAAAAATGGTGACAACATGACATTTTGACAACAGGCATGAAAGGAGGAAGGCAAAAATAAATTATTTTTGAAGAACTGAAGGTGTGCCTATGTGCCCATGTGTGCCTAGGTCAATTAACTTCTTTTAAAAATGGTGACAACATGACATTTTGACAACAGGCATGAAAGGAGGAAGGCAAAAATAAATTATTTTTGAAGAACTGAAGGTGTGCCTATGTGCCCATGTGTGCCTAGGTCAATTAACTTCTTTTAAAAATGGTGACAACATGACATTTTGACAACAGGCATGAAAGGAGGAAGGCAAAAATAAATTCAAATCATACTTTATAAAGCTTCATTTACAGGTATTTCGTCGTCAGTAAATGAATCCTCATTATCGTTTAGTTCAACCTGTTTATATAATCCTTTCATTTCTTCTTTCAAAACATAACACCATGTTTGTTTACCGTCTATTCTTCTTCGTTTCTTATCACATTTATCCTTAATGCTCATTTGGAAATTCTTCTCTTTCATGTCTGATGGTTTGCAGAATAGAGCATTTTTACACGTCATACCTGCACACAATTCATCATAATGTGTATTTATCCATTCATCTAAAGGATTTGTTGATAATTCCATTAAATCTTGTTTGGCTTCAGTCATCGGTATGATTCGTACATTAAATGATGAAAGGTCGTAATTGATAAAATATGTTAGTAAATTATCATAAAATTCCTTTGTGCATGAATCCATTAAATTCTTGAAGTAATCAAATTGACCCTTAAATTTACCATTAACCCTTAAAACTACATATCTTCTGTCTCCAACTTCAATTTTGACAGGGTAAACGTTATTAGTTACGAAAATGAAATTGGCAACATTTTGAGCAGTTCTTCTGGGTTGATTCTTTTCATTAATTCTAATCTCATTATCCGTTATAATTGATTTCAAAGCGTTGAAGTTTGCGAGTCTGTCTTCACCAACATTCTTGAGTTCATTAAGTACAAGAAACATTTTATTCTCAACTACTGAATTGAAATTACCCGTTAGCTCACCTATTTCGGTAATGTTTTTACATGAATAACCAGCGAGAAGTTCAGAAATAATGTCTGTAAATCTGTTTTTACCTGTTCCCTGAAGTCCTTTCAAAATAATTGCTGTTTCATTCTTGATTCCAGGATGTTGAATCATTGATGCAATCCAGCCGAGTAGGTATTTATACACTTCATCGTTATTATCACAAATGGCTTCTTTAATGAAATTCATAAACATCTCAATTTTTGTGTAATCTACTTTTTCAAGAATGTTGTATTTATAACCTTGAAACGTTGAGAAAACATCTGTGGAATCAGATTTGAAGCATACACCCTTAACAGTTAATGAAGACAATTGATTTAGTAGTACGTCCCATGCTGTTATGGTTTTACCTTCTTCTTTAAATAATTTAATCATTTTAAGTGACTCTTTCATGTTTGATTGAAGAACGAATGATATTTGATTCATTTTATCGTGTATGTTGTAATCCTTTTGAATGAAATATTTGTTTCCACAATCTACAAAACGAATGACACGTGATAAATCCTCAATTACTTCAGAACTGTTTTTATACTGATGATTTTCAGCCTTGCGTCTAATATCTGTTATCAAAAACGAGTCATCAAGTTTTATATCAAATGTTATTTTTGGCTTACGTAATAAAGGTAAAACGTATTCATCATAATATTCTTTTTGATAAAGTTTAAGAATCTTCACCAAAACAAATGGAGAAGTCATTAAATGTGCATATCTATCACGTGCTTTTTCAAAATTACTTTTTGCATTTTCTGTTAAACTGCAGAAGTTATAAACGTTGTCGTATGCTTCATTAATTAAATGATCCGGTAACGAATTAATAGCTTGAAACAGTGTGAATAATGTAACTTCTTTTTCTAAATTCATGTTTCCACCGTCATTATGTACTTCAAAATCACAAATACCATCAACTATGCTCTGGGCAAGTTTATCGTCAATGTTTACATCTTTGTTTTCATTCATTATACTCTTTATTTCTTCGTTCTTTTGTTCAACTCTTACCTTAATATTCAAATCATTTAATATATCATTCACTGTTCTAGTTAATGTTGAATCATAACTTCCACGAATGAATGAGTATGTATTGATTGGTTCTGTTGCATTCTTGCGAACTCTTGAATCAGCCATAACCACTAATGAACGCTTTGAATCATCCATTGAAGTCATGATATCAATATTATAATCATTGCAGGAATAACATTTAATCATTCTGTTCGAGGTTGAATAGAAGAAATTAGTGTTGCAATAAATGTGAAGACCTCCTGAAGCGGTTTTAACGATAACATCTTTATCTGAAAGTTTTGATAAAATGTCTTTTCTAACTGTTTCTTTAAGTTCATCATTGTACGATTTATTGATATCAACATCTATAATCGTTAAATTTGAAATTTTATTTGCTAATAAAGTTGTACCAGTTTTCCTTCCTCTTCCTCCATCATATTTGAGGTAATTATGTAAATCAATCATGTTTTCACCAATTCTTTCGTTGAGGGTTTTAGTTTCTGCCACAACTAATTCCTCAACTAATGAATCAATAACTTGTTCATCAGAAACGATAAAGTTGCTGTTGTTGTTTGTTGCTGTCATTTATATAGGAATAAAAAAATAAAAATAATTTTAAAACTAACTTTATTTTTGTAAGACATGAATTTTCACCCCTGTTGTCAAAATGTCATGTTGTCACACTTTTTCAGAGAAGTTAATTGACCTAGGCACACATGGGCACATAGGCACACTTCAGTTCTTCAAAAACGTAAGACATGAATTTTCACCCCTGTTGTCAAAATGTCATGTTGTCACACTTTTTCAGAGAAGTTAATTGACCTAGGCACACATGGGCACATAGGCACACTTCAGTTCTTCAAAAAAACGTAAGACATGAATTTTCACCCCTGTTGTCAAAATGTCATGTTGTCACACTTTTTCAGAGAAGTTAATTGACCTAGGCACACATGGGCACATAGGCACACTTCAGTTCTTCAAAAACGTAAGACATGAATTTTCACCCCTGTTGTGTCAAAATGTCATGTTGTCACACTTTTTCAGAGAAGTTAATTGACCTAGGCACACATGGGCACATAGGCACACTTCAGTTCTTCAAAAAACTTTAGAACGGTATAATTTAAATTTTTATTTTATCATAAATGAATACCCCACAAGCTCAAAATTTACCACGAATCATAACAAGGGAGGAAATGATAAAAATGATGCGAGAACATGTTAAAAATAACAAACCACTAAAACTGAGAAAATGTGGTTATGCAGTAATGATGGAAGAGAGATGTTGTCAAAGAGGAATAAAAATTAAATTTGGATAGAGTTTAAAAATTCATCTTTATTAAATTCATCTCTTCCAATCAATTTATTTATTCTATTAAATTCTTTTATTTTTGCTTCACTCAGTTTAAGGATTGAACGGTAAGTTTCTAATTTTTTCGATTATTTCTTCATCATTTTCAACCTCACCACATTGCGGCTTCTTTTTGTAATAGCATATTTTTGATTTAATTCTGTTTAGTTTCTTTTTATATTCATCGTCTGGACTCTTGACTGTTTTGTTGTCACTCATTTCTTACGAAATAAAAAAAAAATTAAATATTATTTAAATATAATGGAGTAATAAAATAAATCGGAATTTCTATTAATTTATTGTTAACTTCAACTAATGCATTGCCGTTAATATATCTAACAAATTCAGCTATTGTGTCAAATCTTTCGTCTTCTTTTTGTCATTGATTTATCAGTTTTTCCATAATCGAGATGAATCAAAACTTTATCCCCTTGTTTAAAATTCATGAGCCCCGAATTAATTTGTTCACGTTTAACATCATTCAACCTTTCCATTTGCTTTCTAATATATTCCCATTCTTTTGAAATATCATTTTTCATTTCCACTGGTTTCATGTTAATAGTTCTATGCCATGTATTATTATAATAATATACTAACTGCTGTATAATGGAGTCATGATTTCCATCCCAGTATATCTGACCGTTAACCCCTAACGCATCTCTAAGAGTTCTCATTACCGCATCAACTATTTTATTATGAAACGTATATGGAGAAGATGAAAAGTAAAAATTAATTTGTGGGAAATAATGAATCATAACTGCCTGAAATCCTTTATCACCATCACCCCTTATATTATCTACTCTTTCATGATCTAGTAAGTATTGTATAGCTCTTCTTGTTTCCTGTTCTGTTTTCCCTTTCACCGGAATGCAATATAAATATCTAGTGTTAATGTTAATGGCAAATAAATAAGTAATATTTCCTTTTGAATATTCCAGATGATCGATTTCGTATGAATAAGGTGAAGGTGCAAATGATGGACGACTAAATTTTTCTTTTAATGGTTGAATTTTCGGGTCAATTGGTTTATTTAATATCTTGAAACCCTTTTTAAAATCTTTTTGTTTCTTTAATGTTTGAAATGGATATAATAAAGTGAATGATGAAGGATTAACTGAAGGAGGGAGAGGTACTGTCGTTGGAGGTACTGTCGTTGGAGGTTTTGGTGTTGCAAGTGGTTTAATTTTATCTGCTTTGATTTTGGATTTCATTCCCCCCTTCATTAATTCTGGATGTATTCTATTCATTTGTTTTAAATATGCTGTATATAAAGGTTTGATATACTTTCCCGCTTCGAGTTTATGTTGAAGGATGAATTCCAAAAGTTGATCTTCATTTAAAAGTCGGGTTGAATATGTTTTAACTAATGAATCATAAATTAAAGCTTGTGCTTCATTTATGAGCTGCTGAACGTCCAAACTTTTCTCTTTTGGCTTTTGCGGCTCAGGATTATATAATTTATATAATTCATCAATATCTTTTTCAGTTAATACTTTATTTTTGAAATCTTTCAACTGTTTAAGTTGTGATTTACTTTTTCCCTTTGAATATTTTCCTTCTTTAATGTTCTCTCTTAAACGTTTAATTATTTTATCATGATATTTCAAAATTTCGTTTTTATAATACCGATAGTATTCATCCATATCATCACCCGTTATATTTTCATCATGTTTTTGGAGATATGCTTTTAAATCATAATAACTAAGAAAATTTTGATTAAATACTAAATCATCAATTAAATTTTTTAAATCTGCGCTATTCATTTATATAAAAATAAAATCAATGTTTTATGGGTGCCCACCTCTTTGTCTCTTCTGTGGCATTTCATTAAATAAATGGCATACAACATCCATTTTCACAACATACAGCTTTAGTGTGTGCCCCTGTTAATGCAGTCTTACCGATTGTTAAGCGAGTCATTGACCCATTTTTAAGTTGTAAATTAATATTTTGACCATCGAAAATGACTTTATCATTTATTATATCCAAATAATTTTTAGGTGTTAATTGTTTATTTTGTCGTAAACTAACCTTTCATTTTTTGTGCAATCTTTTTAAAATCACTTCCATCAATTGAACCGTTGAATGATGTATAACACTTAGGGCATAAAGCAACCATGTTATCACCTTGTTTCTCAATTGCTAAACCCAATAATTTTTTCTCATGTGCTTTTTCTTCAGCTTTATTCTTTAATTTAGGTTTAAATTTCTCATCAAAACAGAAGAAATCAAAAGGTGCGAATTTGAAAATGTTTTTATCATAAAATTGTTTATCGGTTACAATTGCTTGAAATGCTTGAGTGTTAGGAAGATTTGGGTCGCCAGCGATTGCCCAATATGATGAATCAGTATCACCTTCAATGAAATGAAAACGATTAACATTCATACATTTATACATAAAATCATAAATGAAAACAAATACCAGTATTTAGCATTATCTAAAGTGAAGAATGCCTCTTGTAAACATGTATCACATCTATAAAATCTATCTTTGAGCATCACTTGATATGTATCCTCACCTATTTCTCTTATGTTTTTAAACTTATTTGACATACATGCAACGCGTGCCTTCTGTGCATTCATTATTTTAGTCTTTGCGTAATTTTGTGTATTCATTGCATCGTAACCATATGATCCATTAAGTGAAATTTTGCAAAATAAACTTTTTCCTTTATTTCCTTCTAATTCAGCCTTTTGTCTTTCGTTCATAAATTTGTTCGCAAATTCATTAAAACAAGTATTTTTCGTAAATGTTAAAATTGATTGAATATCATCGATGATAAAATGAAATCTGTCTATTAGATACCAAAGATAATAAGAAGAAAATGGTTGATAATGGTTGTGTGTTGATGCTAACTGAGTTAATTTTCTCTGTTTCTGGTCAACCGGTAGATTGTTTGATTTCATGTAATTATACATAAAACCGCCAATTGTTTTTTCATCTGTGATAATATCTAAGTTTCTTATTATCGGTAAAAAGTTAATGTAATCATTAATATACTTTTCATCAATGTGACCCTTTACTTCAGCAACGAATAAAGTATTTCTTCTAATAATTCCTAAAGCTTTTGCTTTCTTTGTTGCTGTATCACAAATTAAAACCATTTCTAATCTCCCGGCATATACATTTATGATCGGTGTATATTGAATGAAATCATGGATTTGATGAAAATGATGAAGGATATAATGAATTGAAATCAACACCAACGAAATGAGTCATGATGTTGGAAGTGTCCTCATTTGATACTGTTTTAGTTTCTGGATTATATGAAAGTTTATTAATATGGGTGATACCTTTAAGATTAACACGATGTTGAACATTAGAGAGACCACCAGTAATTCCATTACGGAGAATGTGATAAGCTTCAACTGAATCTAAAGTCATTGGTAAATTATTTTTCAATGCGTAATTTCTTAAATTAATTCTTAAACGTTGAACATCTTCATCTTTATTTGATTTTACCACATTGCAATAACAACACATTAACTGACAATTTTCTTTAGTATGTGGTTTCTCATTATCGATTCTATCCAATGTTGGTTTATTTGCATATGTAAACGCTTTACCACACATTTTGCATTTAGATGAAAGGATTAAATCGTGAAAATATTGATATCATCCATTGAAACATTGTTTTTGGTATCTCTTTTCGCCTTTTCATCTTGTTTCTTATATGATTCAATTTTATATTTCCAATACTTTTTCGTTAATTCAAAACTTGATTCCACATTTTCTTCTTCTGGATATGTTTCGTTAGGATTGAAGTTCTTATATGCTAACGCGTAACGAATCATTGATGCATTAGATGATAATGAAAGATTATGAAGCATGTCAATTTTATAAACAAATGTTTCTTCAATAATTTTATCAATTGGGTCAATCATAATTTCAACGTCTTTATTGCAATAATGAATAAAATATTCTAATCTATTCTCAAAATTTTTAGCATCATTGAGATATATTTGATAATCTGAATCGGATATTGTTTCTTGTGTTAATGCTGAATAAAATGAATCTTGAGTGAATGGTTCCTTTTTATATAGGGTGTCCAAAGGTGTGTTTAGCACAAACCTGAATACTGCGAATAGAAATAAACAAGTTACATATATATAAAGTTTATTTAAATATAATCACCATTGGATTCAATCACGCGTTCGCAGCGATCGATCCAGGCTTGAAAGACACGCTTTAAATCATCATGAGAAAATTGCTCAAATTACTCTCTTACAAAATTTTCAAGATCATCTGGACTCGCGAATTCGCGTCCTTCAGCTCTCTTTTTTAGCGTGCCGAATAAATAAAAGTCAGAGGGTGCAATATCAGGTGAATAAATTGGGTTTGGAACAACTTTGACATTGTTTTCCACCAAGTAATTCATTACCTTATGACTTTTGTGAACTCTTGAATTATCAAAATGAATTGCAAACTTTTGTTTTTGTTGTTTGGATTTCTCAAACTCATCAGAATTGATAATTTGAGTAAGAACATTGTCAATTAGATACTGAGCATTCATCGTATTAGGTTTTTGAAGAATATCAATTGCGATGATGTCATTCACGCCCCAAAAACCGACAACATCATCATTGGTGTGTCAATTTTTTTCTTCGGGAATGTTTGCGGATTTTCATCCTTCGGGATCCACATGATTTTGGCTTCTGTTGCATATTGAAACCAAGACTCGTCCCCTTTACTAAAAAGCGAAACTTCTTGGATTGATACGCACGCAATATAGAGAGGAGCTCTTTCGAAGATTGGACTCTAGATTTTTTTTGAACTGAATTAAGGTTGTGCGGAACCCAACGTGTATACGCTAGTTTGTAGTTCAAATAATTGTGCAGATAATAACTGACTGTTGTACGTGGTCTCTTTGTCATCTCCTCTATCCTTCTGAGTGATGCTCTTGGGTCTTCATCTAGCGCTTGAAGAATTGCTTTGATTTTTCTTTGATCCGGCGATTTTTTGTCAATTTTTATGATGGGCGCCTTTTTGTTCATGAAGTGATACATCCTAACATGATACGTTACAGTGGAATAGCTAGGAGCATCCATACCGAAGCATTTTACCAATGTCTCGTAGATTTTTTTACAGTCTTTGCATTTTTTTGCAAGAGCGAGGGTGTTTTCTTTATGATTCATTAAAAAAATGAAAAAATCCCGCCAAAATTTCCCGCGAAACCGCCTCTTGTCTCAAAATTCATTTTATATCCGGCATGGCGCCAAAATACAACTTACTCATCATATACATATATTCATTTTATTATATATTTATAATCAGCATATATCTCCTTTAATAGTCTCATATAGAGCGCTGTGCTAAACGCACCTTTGGACACCCTATATAATTCATCTTCGTAATTCTCCCATGTGATGAATTGATATGGGAAGAATGATTTAACACGTGTTTTATTGTTTCCGAAATCTTGAGTGAATTGGTCTAATGTTCCACCCGCTATATAATTTCTGATGTCAATAAATCTCAATTCATATGGACAGTTTGTTTTCTTTACTATGACTTGCTTAAATTGAGAAGAAGAACCCAGCATTGATTTTATCTTCCATTTTGCAGTATTTAAATCACGAAGAATTAAATTTAAATCAACTTTCCCGAATTAAAACCAATGATATTCACTTTATTAAATTCTTCATCTAAAAGCTCTTTCATTGCTCCCTTTTGTTTCTCATTAATGTATGGGACTTCAATAATTCTTCATATTGTTCAATATTTGATTTAGCAACTAATGAACAGGTTGAAAATAAAAATTCAATCCAATCAGAGATGAACGAATCACTTGATGTTAAGCAAAAATTCCTCGTAAATGTTTTATCGTTTAATTTAACCGTTGATGATACCATAAATGGTTTTAAGTAAGCGTTCAAAGTTGCACACTCAGAAAGTTGAAGTTCTTCTTTAGTCTCTAATGTTTCGAAGTCAAAAGTAATATAATATCTTGTTGGTTTATAATATTCCTGCAAATTATGTGCTAATAGCCATTGATATATCTTCTGTTTCGTGATATGTGGTGCATATGGTTGTTGTGTGTTTTGCAATTGTACGTCTTGAATTAATCTTCCATTATTTTCTTTACATTTCTCACAATGTTTTAAAAATCTTCTTTGGTTTTTCCTTTCTGGATCATCACGGATAGAATATACTTCTTCTTTGCAAAAGGGGCAAACTTTATATCCTGTGAGTGCTTCAACGTCTGTTATTCTGTCAGCGTGAAGTTTTCCACATGGACTCTGTGTTAATAAAATATTTACTGTTTCAAATTCTGGATCTATCATTATTGTTTCCACTAATGGAAAGTCTACCTTGTTAATGTCTACGTCTTCTGGTTGAGGGTCACAATAATAGAAATCAATATTAACGTTTAACATTCTTGCTAACCTCTCACTTTCTGATGAAATGTCAAATCCTTCATATGCATCTATGGCTTCATTTAAATAACTTCTACGAGTTTTAGGATTAACACCATCAGGAATGTTATAGCGTTTAAATAACCTTCTACCTTCGGCTCTTATTTGATTATCATTCATTTTAGCTGTTCCGTTTTTGTTCATTTATGTAAGAATAAAAAATTAGAATATAAAAATAAAGTTTATTTTTTTAAAGTCCGAGACTCAGAGAGTCCAGGGCTAAAGTCCATAAAATGAATTAAGAACACACAAATTTTTATCATCTGCAACGTGACGAATACATTTTAATTTACTCAAGAATGTGTACCCTGATACATTAAATCTAATTCCTGTCTTATTTAATTTCACAACTTTGAAAAGGAATGTGTGAATAGCTATGAAATGATGACGAGATGATTTATGTGTTGCTTCCATTTTTTCTGAAATAAATGAATAAATATAATGTTTATAGGTTTTCATATCTTTTATGTTCTTAATAACGAATGGAATAGATCTTTCCACTTCGTCCTCCTTCGGAGCTGTTCTTTCATATGAAACATCAACGGTATCTTCAACAATGAAACCACAATCGCATAAAATTTTATATGTACCAATTGTTTCTTTTTGATATTTTATCTAACAAATCAAAAACTTTATCAACACCTGTACATTTATTTAAATAATAATTTGTGTAAATATCATGGTCTTCTTTCTTAATCGTATTAGTTGCATATGTTACATTTTTCAGTGCTTTTTTGAATTTTTCAGAATCAAGAGGAGGTGAAAGTAATATACATGGATAATCTCCATCGTCAATAAACTGAAGCTTATGTTTATGAATAAATTTTGTGCCTTCTTCTGAAAGTGTTTCGTCAATATCACCATCTAATAAATTTTTAGTTGATTCCAAAAAGTAATTTTTATATCTTTCCTCATGTGATTTTTGAACTTCTGATTCTGAAGCTGGGATATTCATTAAACCCTCTACTTCATTCTCATTATATTTTTCAACTTCTCTTAATTCCTTAATTTTTTCATTTATTTCATCTCTTATTTTTTTCAGTCTTTCAATTTCAATTTCATCATATTCATCATCTTTAATTCGTTCTTCATAATATTCAGGGAAAACATCAGGTTCTTTAGGTTTTTCTTTTTCTTTAGATGTGGGATATAAGAAATTTATAACATCATCTTTATTCATTTTTCCATCATAATCAAATTCATTTAAAAACTCCGCGAATTTTTGACAATTTCTTAAATAATATTTATTAACTTCATAACCTGCCTCCTCTAATATATCCTTTATTTCCTCATTTGTGAATCCTGAATATCTAACATCGTTAGTTTTGATACTCATTTTCTTACGAATTAAAAATAATTTTTTCAAAATGCAGATAAATTTTTAAAGTTTATTTTTCATTCATGAAAATAATTATATCTAATTTCTTTTACTCTCTCGTATATACTAGATTTAAAGAATTCAGATTTTTCCCCATAATCTCCTAAATGTTTTCTAATCTTACCGGTTTTCCATTCATAATATGAAACTGTATAACATTTATTCCTAAATTCATATTTTATTATAGATTTAGTATTTTCAAACTCTTCAATATTTAAAACTTTACATCCTTCTTTATTAAATATATGTTTCACATATTCAGGATTTATCATTCTGTAATATTGTTTTCCTTTAAATCTTTGAATGTAAACAGGAACACCATCCTCTAAAATTCTATTATCCACTTTATCAGGTTTTACTTGTTGGGTCATTTATGTAAGAATAAAAAAATAACTTTATTTTAAAATTAATGTTAAAATAAATGATACAAAATCATTCAATATTGTATGAATTCTTACGTTTACAAAAAAAGTCACACACCCCGCATGCTTCTACTACTATTTTATTCAATTTACATGTTGTCAATTCTTCAAATAATTTTTTATTATTAGCATAATAGTCATTAAATTCTTCAACAGATGAAAAAATTTTTGTTTCAGTAATTGGTTTAACAACGTTAATTTTTTGTTGAACATTAACACTTTCATTTATTTCTTCCTCCTCTGTTCCATTTATTTTTAAAATCGGTTTCATTTATCATTAAATAAAAATTAGAATATAAGTGATGAAATATATTTTTTAATTAATATTAAATCAGAAATGGCGGCAGGATTCTTTAAAAAATTATGGGATGGAATTAAGAAAGCTGCAGGTTGGGTTTATAAAAAGGTTATTAAACCTGTTGCAAACTTTTTGGCACCAGTAGCGAAAACGGCAGGAACTATCATAGGTGGAGTATTAGGTACAAAAGCAGGTAATCCAGCGATGGGAGCACAAGCAGGTAACGCAATTGGTGGAATTGCTGAAGGAATACTTAATAAAATAGGTGGTAAATAGTGGAAAAATAAATAAATATTATTTTTATCTTAGTATTGGTTGTAGTCTTTGATAAACTTTTTCTCCTTTATTTAAAATTTCTCTTATTGGGGCAGCTTTTGGTGTTATTGATTCAGCTACGTCACTAATTGCTTCTTTATTCTTAAATATCCAATTTGCTCCCTTCTTCAATGTTTCCCAAACTTTACTCGCTCCTCTTTTTACTCTATCCCACAGTTTCTTAAATATACCTGCAGCCATAGTTGATTATTTCATTAAAATTAAAAATTCATTTACATCTTTTAATTTTGAATTTTTATTTATTAATAAATGACGACTAACTATTTGGTGCCAAACACTAAACCGATTAATGGAAATGTATTTCATTCATTCGAAAAGATAAATGAAATATTCGCAAAGAATGACGGTAGAAGATATTATAGAGAACTTGAAAGTTCATGCTATGACTCTGATGCTCCATATTTTGATGATAAACAAACTCATTTAAGAATTACAAATCCGGCTCATGATGTGAACCAATTAGGTGACACATATATTAAACGCAAAGTTAAAGCAACTCTTGTTTCAAATAAAGCTTTCACATGTGATGCCACTTTTAAATGCATGCGTTTATTCGTTGGTTACAAATCATCAAATCAAAGCTTTAAACAATTAGAAGTAGAAACTGAAAGAGGTGATGCCGGTTATCTTCAGATGGATTGCGCCGTGAATCTTTTGCATTTGCAACATATAAACCAAAATCAGAAAGGAAAGTTAAAAAGTTTGTTCATTCGTTATATAATAATGTTCAAAAATATGATAACTCAGTATGTGGTAAATATATTGACCCATCGGAAGTTTTCAAGAAAGCAAATGAAGAAGTTGATGTCACTTTTGATATGATTATTCCGGTAAATGATTTGTTAGCATTTCAGGCGTTCGATGATTATCCTAAATCATTTGGTGATATCATTCTTAAATATTATGTTTTCAGGGATACTTTAGTATTTTGTCAGGTTGACCCATTAAGAGTTGCTGATTTACAAAATTACGTTTATGAAAAGATAACTGATGAAAATTATGAAAAGATATGAATCATGTTTATAAATATGATCGCAAATTCCAACAAATCGGACTTCCTGCCAAATTAATTACAAGCTTAGCCGCTACAACTGCTGACGCAACAGTTGAAGACGTTATTATTTCATGCACAAAGATGGAAGTTTTAGAGGATAAATGTATTACACCAGGATATGGTTTAATTGAAGAATCAGTTAAAGCAATACCACGTTTATTCAGTAAGGAAGATCCATTCATGATTCCAGCTCAACATATTGACGTTCGTTCACTAAATGGAGGTTGCATCACTCCAGAAGGTATCAGCTCAGATTTCTCATATGCTCTTCATAATGTTACAGATGTTGTGTTAACATTTCCGAAAAATGCAATGCAAAGAACAGTTTTAGAAAATCCAATGCTTCGAGGTCTTCAGGTCACTATAGATTCAAGAAACTTCCCTGATCAAGCGATGACCACAGTGGGTGACATATTCTTTACACGTATGCTTCAAGCTTCTGATTTAGATGGAGTGAATGAATGCACGGAAGAATATGAGGACTCATTAACTAGACCACTGAATGCAGATGATGGCACGCCATTAGCTAGAACATGGAAAGACCAAACCTCATTCTTATGCACTATTCCAGTTCAACGTGATGGAGCGGGTATATTCTTTGATGGATTAGAAACTTTTAACTCACAAGTTACAGTACAAGTGAAAGCTTATCCAATCATTCAGGGTGAAAATGACACTTACTGTTCAAAGGTGACAAATCCTCCTCAGGTTTGGTTTACTAGGACTACATATTGGACATGGACACCGGATGAAGGTTTGAAATATCATTCAACAGGTACACCACCACAGTATAGAAGTTCATATGATGAAATATTGATGAATAGAAATGTTTAAAATTATAAATTTATTTTTGATTAAATGGATTTAAATTCATCCACCCCTTATGAAGAATTAGCAGGAGTATATAATACATACGTAGATGATATGATTAATGAAGCATTGAGTGATAATAAACATGCTCTATCTAAGGAAAAATTAATGAAAATTCCATATTCTGAATATTACTTAAATTCAATCACTGCAGCAATTGGTAAACAAAATAAAGGTAACACATTAACGATATTAAAACAAATTATCATTATTGCTAACACTTCCCCCTATTCACATGTGTTAATTTATATCAACCGTTCAGGTTCACCTTCAGATGATACATTTGAATCTTTAAAGCATTTAATCAAAATTCCAATTATTTATTTATCACAAGAAGAAGCAGAAGATTATTTAAAAAACTTTTTAATGTATAAAGAATTATATAATACAATCAAGAAGCAAGGATTAGAGGATAAAATTATTGATAAACAACGGGATGAATTATTTGAAACACTTTCCATTTCAAATTTTGATAAAGAATTTTTGCATTCACTCATTTTTCTAGATGATGCAGTGAAATCAAAACTAATAACAAATGAGAAATCATATTTTAATCAGTTATTAACTCAATGTCGACACATTCAGTGTTCATTTTTTATGGCTGTTCAATATTTCAAAGCATTAAGCACAAACATTAAATCAAATCTATCAACACTTTTCATTTTCAGTGGGTTTAGTCGTCAACAGTTGAATGTTATGCTTTATCAAGTGAATTTACCAATGAGCATTAATGAACTTTACACACAATATCAGCAATTAGGTGAACATGGAAAAATAATAGTTGAT